GTTCAAAACATTGTTGATTATTTCTTGGTTAGAGCAGGATGAATATTATTCTGCAATGAATTGAAGGAAATAATATTGCTTTTTGCAAATACACATCACAGTATCAACGCTACTATTTTGTTACGTTTTGTTCCAAAAATGTTGAATGTCTCCAGGGAGTTGCATGCTTAATTGTTATGTCTTATGGAGTTGTATGGTTTGATTGTGCTTCATTCTCAGTTTATTGTGAACTTAAAAAGATTAAGAAAAGGCAAATGAGTTTGAGTGTTCTTAACAAGATTTCAGAACATTGCAGAAGTTAGAAGAGCTTCACAATTCCATTGTGACAGCATGCCCTAATTCAGAACTACGAACGATCCATGACGATCCTTCGCGATGCAGTGGTCTCATGAAATAAGGAAACGTATTCGTGCTAGGAACACACACAGATTTCGGACGAATAAATATTGCTTGTATTTTGTAGATAATAATACAGACTTTGTTTCATAATAAACAATTTGTCAAGTGTCATTTATTTACTGGTAATCGTGCATGTTTCAGTCGGGCAAATCTTGATAAATATTTGATACGCCGTTTTTTTGCATATTTCGGACACATCCAGAAATATGCTCCCGATTTTAAACAATATCTCCGTGTATTTTTAAGTGAAATACAACTGTAATATATCAAAATCTAAGTTAATCCTTCCTCTATTTGATGCAGGTTATTTCTCTTTAAAAGGTTTACTTGTTTAGAAGTTATTACGAATCAAACCGGAGTACTTTTTTTTGGGACACCCGGTAGTATTGTTCTATGCTGAATTAATATAAGCGAGTATGTTTATGACATTCAGTATATATTTCATAGTTTCCAGTCTTAAATCCGTCTGACCGTGTAGCTCAGTTGGTAGAGCGTCGATCTAGTAATTCGAAGGTCGCGGAATATGTATATGTATATGTATATGTATATGTATATGTATATGTATATATGTATATGTATATATGTATATGTATATATGTATATGTATATATGTATATGTATATATGTATATGTATATGTATATGTATATGTATATGTATATGTATATGTATATGTATATGTATAAGCGAGTATGTTTATGACATTCAGTATATATTTCATAGTTTCCAGTCTTAAATCCGTCTGACCGTGTAGCTCAGTTGGTAGAGCGTCGATCTAGTAATTCGAAGGTCGCGGAATATGTAATATGTATATGTATATGTATATGTATATATTGTATATGTATATATATATGTATATGTATAAAATCTAAGCAATGAAGAGTAAAATTCTTTCTTGAATATTTTTTACTGCAATTAACTTGGTTAACTTGGTTGAATTGATTCTGAGTTGATACAGTAGATAAACCAAGTGATGAAATAGATTCCATTTTAGACCTTAACTGGGAATGGTGGGTAATCCGGTAGGAATTAAACCTGTGGCTCTGCGATTCCAGAGTAGCGCTTTGCTAACTGATCTACAGAGTCCGATGATGAGCAATAACCACAAGTTATGGATAATCGGGTGTGCGGTTAGGATCAGGTGAACGTGAAAATTTGTTAAGTACAGTATAAAAATGGTATACCTGTAAAATGGAATATATTTCATCACAAATTTGGATTATCCATCAACTCAGAATTTAATTTCATGGAAGTGGAGTGCAGTAAAAATCCTGACTCGCACACCGGATTATGTATATACCTGAACTTGCAATTAGAGTTGGTAGATCACTGCTCCGGAATCACAGGACCGCAGGTTTGATTCCTGCCGGAGGACCTACAGTTAGTTTTCATATTTTGCAACTGTTAAGGTCCAAAATGGTAAATACTGTACAGTATGTATTTCATCATTTGGATTATCCATCAACTCGTCATTGAAAAGAAGTGATTCATGCTGGCCAGGCTTAGTTAAGCGGATTTTATAGACGCTTTGTATGTAATATTCATGCAGGACTCTGTAAAATCGAAATTCAGGAAATAGCATTTCAGCTACAGTATAATTATATCTTTTTAGGAACTCGTGTAAAATGGATTGATTTGAGCTACAAGCCTCAGTGGTGGCCAGAAGAGGTTGCTTGGAGAAATCCAAACAACAAGTCTACAGCTGGTCCTAAAATGAAATCTGCAGAGCTTAGTTTGGTTCTGTCTGCATACCGAGATTGGCATGAATCAACTTCGCATCCAGGTGCTGGGCCATCACATGAACAGCAACCTCATTCTGGTCGTTTAGATGAGAACCACTTCGTTTCTGCAGCTACTGAATGTGATTTATCTGCAGAGGATATTGCATTCATGGAAAGTGTCATAAAGGAAGATGATGACAATGTATGCATGTATTGACTGTTTAATGTAAATTATGTCAGGTGCAACTCTCAATTGGTTACTGTACATTCAGGGCTTGACTAAAAAAAATATCGCCTGCCAAATAAATTATTGCCCGCAATTTCTGTTTTTTAATTGTCAAAATTATCCCTCTCGCATTCACCACGTCAGAAGAAGTCATTTTAATTCGTATTTCTATCCCCCATTTCTATACAATACTGTACATGGTCCTATTTGACGATCGACTTCCCAATTAAAGCAACCACTTTCCAATCAATGAAAATGGAATCTTGCCAGAGTAAAGCTATAAAGCTATATAGCTATATATAAAGCTATACTTTAATTGTTTAAACACCGCATATATTTTGATGCCAATGCTTTCGAACCATAAGCCTGGATCATATTACTGTAGTCGCACTGGTCTGGATCCAGGCTATTGTGATCAAACTGTTGCCCAACTGTTCAACGTGTGTAGAATATTGCCTAATACGTACTGTGTGTTATTCATTTAGAGCACTATTGATTTTTATGATGAGCATGCTGCAGTAAGGTGCTTACAATTTGCCGAAAGTTATCATGGAGAGCTCTCAAGATATGTGCTTCTGGAGTGATAAATAAAATGAACAACCGTACTGCTTTGGTACCATATGTCCATGACTACATTGATTTGGAAAGGCTCGATAGAAGGTAATAAACGTACTTTATACCGTAAGTACTGATATAGAGCTCCTTGATTTTGGTGATAGTATAGCGAATGATGGTGATACTAGTTTAGTTACTGTGTATAAATGATATTCGGGCTTTGTTGTAATGTTCTGCTATTTTTTGTCTAGTTTGCTAAGTTTCATTCCACCATTCAGTAAAATGTTGAGTGAGGATGGTGGCATTGAGCTAGAACCTTTCCAAGCGAGTGCTTTTGGTAACTGCTTTTGGTGTAGCCTATCAATACATCTGACTGGGAACGAAAGCAGACAGAATTTTCTTCGCTTGGCTTCTGCACTAAATGCAGTCATTAACGCAAAACACTTTATTGATAAGGTACGGTATAAAACGGTGGTATGAAAAGGTACTACACGACAACTACATGAATGTGTAGTATCAGAATTAATATGCACATGCATGCAGCTGCTTTGTGAGTTAAATCAGGGTAAAATTGTATAATTGAATTGTTGTAGGTCATTCAACAGTTTACCACTGTAGATGAGGCGTTGCAATGGTCAGAGACTGTTTGCTGTCCATTGAATACATCCAAAACCACAATTAGGGAGATTGTCGAAGAACGTTATGTTTCGGAAGTCAAGGAAACGTTCGGTTATTATATATTTATAGGGTTATTACAGGTGTATTTGGCTTCAGATTTTTGAGAAGACCAATAAGGCAATTTTGCTTGCTTCCCGGCGCTGACCATTATAGAACTCGAATGGAGCCTTTTCAGGTGCTTATGGTGGGGGGTGGCACCGAAGAGAAATGTTTTTTGTGGGAAAGATTTTGCTGACCCAACCATTAGAAAGTCAAAAACTTGATTACCCAACCTCAAGTATCAATTTAAAAATAAATACCCACCCCTGGCCAAAAACTTTACCAAAGGATACCTTTACCACTTCTGTGACATGAGTTTGATAACGGCTTGTGAAATTTTCTGCCGTCTAAAGTTTCATATTGTCTGCACATGTTGTTTTTTTGGAGACACCATTTGTCTCCCATGCAACAAATCGAAAAATGATCAAGATAATGAATCTGATTGATTCACATATTGTATCTACATATGACTGTTGACATTGCTTTTTTGTCTCCAATATTTCAGTGAGTCATGCTTTGGAAATGACAATAATTTTTTATTACCCAACCCTTGAGTTGTTTTGTTTTTCATTTACCCAACCTTTTACTCACTCAAAATTTTGTTTACCCATCCCTTTTCTCTTCGGTGCCACCCCCCGCCATAAATAATGACCGGTCCCAGTATTAGTAGTGTTGAATGTTTGTGTCAATTAAAATGTTTTACTAAAATCAGATGAGTTGAAGTTGAGTTACTGTACGTATATACTGTATGTATTTATATGTATACATGCACACCTTTCGTGGTACTATTTGTTGTCCAACAGTATATTCACCCGACAAGATTTTTTCTTTCATGTCAGCCTTCACACTTTCTGTTGTTTGTGGCACTGCGACACTAATTTCTCCACCATGTCCCCTCAGTTTCTTTCTTCGCACTTTCTCATCGTTCCCATCAAGTTTGCGCTTGAATCGATTGATGTCAACACCAGCAGATTTTAGCCATTCTTTTGCAATTTGACCTCCATTCTTTGCTATTTCACCCTGAGTGTTCCTGATGTTGTGCTTTCTTGCTAGAGTTGACCAGTTTATAACCATATTATCTGGATAATTTTCCACTTCCTCTTTCATTTTCTCCTTATCAAAAGTTTTGTTTTGTAAGTTTCCAACAGGACTTCTCTTCTTTGTGCCAGCTTCTACACTGCTTCGATGTTTTGCATCTTCAGTACTTTCAAATGCTATGGCAAAGCGTGATCGCTGTGTTGCTGCCAAAGACTGGCGGTTACCATAGCACCTTAGGAATATAGAAGTATGTATAATTTTAGTTTGTTATTCCTGTATGTTTATACATAATTATTTTTGGCTCTGCGTTAAATTTCATATTACTGAAAGTGGGCTGCCATGGCCAGGAGCTATCACTGAGGCAACTAACTGAGATAATAGCAAGCTTGACAAAAACCCTCGACTTAGCCTGAGGGTTGCTCCAGTAAGAATGAGCTGATATGTAATATTTTACAATAAATTTGATTGCTTTAGAACTTAGAAGCCATTTAATATACTGTACCACAGGCGCAGACATACTGACTAGTATTTACCTCATAACCGATGTATTCTTCCAGTGTTCCTCTAAACAAGCTTTTGTCTTTCGTAAATAATTTCTTCTTTCTTTCTTTTTCTTAGCGCAACTCTTCTTCGCTTGGATATTCAAGGTGGGAAGAGTGGTCAGGGCTTTCTCAAGGGATACATTAAACACTTGTTGGAATACTGGGTTAATTTCATCATACACCGTTTGTGCGCCAGTCTGGTATTCTCGTCGTGTACACTTGATCTGTACAGGCTGTTTATTTACATTAGCTGCTATATTTTGAGCCACAACCACAGCATTTTTTTTAAGAAAGCCTTGAAATTGCCTTGAATTAACCGGGAATAAAGCCTGATACACGGAGTACCTGTGACAACAGCTGGGGCAATCCATCAAGCTGTGTTCATCTTTGCGCGTAGTGGATAATTCTTTCCAGCTATCGGCAGAGAAAGCTTTCAGGTATTGGACTCGTTCTTTGTATTTACGGGGATTCCAACCACTGAACTTCTTACGCAAGTCTGGCAGCTTTCTCTCAAAGGTTTTGTAGTCCACTGCAAACTTCGTGCTGCCAAACATGTGGCAGAAGAGTTCGTGAATAGCTTGTACAGTACGCACGCGATGCTGATATGGTGTTTCAGTGTCAACGCGCTTTATGTTAACTACAGCATCTTTCGTAAATCGCCAAATTGCTGCCTTGGCAAATCCACACGTATGTGGGTGAATAAAACTGACAACCATGGCGATAAAGTAGAATTTTGATGTATTTTTATAGCTTTGTGCGGACTTCGAGACGTGAGTCTATCGAAGCAAATTTTGAATCTGGCGCCTAAATCTTCATTGCGTGCGTGAGACGCGTCTAATTTTGACAGATTATAATCTTAAATTACTGATAAATAAGGCTCTTGTTTCACCATAGCACTCAAGATTTATCCTGTGCAATATTGTCTGCGAAATTTATGCTTAATAGCCTTTTAGATTTGTATTATTATAAAGCATGTTGTCGTATATATTAAAATGCGAAGTTGTGTCGGATAATTTGGTTACAGATGGTTCTGTGCGTTCGACATTCACTTGTATATTAAAAACAATGATATGTGTATATTTTTCTGTATTACAATTGCCGGTTTTAACCTTGCGCAAAGCAAAATATGTCTGCAAACATGTCTTTATGCTCTTCGAGTTATTATGATCGCCATTTTGAGCGTTCTTTGTTGCCATGGCTATGCGGGAGACCGCTGTGTGTAGAATCAGGGCTCACTCGACAAAAATGGCGGTTTTTACGATTTATTTACTCGGCCGAATGTTAAACTTCAATGGCCTTGCAGGAAAGGTTTTTATTATCAACTATTAAAGGCTTATGCGCTAATTAACTGCAAAATATGTCCAACTTCTTGAGAAATGTCGTAAACCGAAAACATTTTGACTAGAAGTAGCTTTAATGATCGAAAATATGCAAGTAGAAACGCGTGTTTTGATTTTGGATTTATTTTACGCAACAATAACACAACATTTTCACGGATACAAGTTTGAATATGTTAGAAGAGTTCCTTGGCAATCTATTTGTAATTGAATGTTTCAGTGAGAACCTGCTCAATCATTCCCTGCAAAGCGGTTGAAAAAGTTCCATGTTTTTGTTGCTATTTTTAGTCCAACAACTGGTCACGTGACACGTTTTTAAAAATTTTGGGTGCGTTAAAAAAATTCTAAAATTATGTTGAGTAGCATTAACGCCCAAAACCCTATCAATTTATCTTAAAATCGTTGTAAATAATTTTTCTTTTATTTTTCATGAATTAATGCACACTGTGAAACCTGACCCAGTCATTAACGCACCTGAGTGGAAACTTAGAACGTTTGCTCGTTGTGAGAATGGATTAAATGAGATGTGATTCCATGTGATGATTGTTCTCTGAAAATCTGTATAGTTTTGTTGCATAGAGGTATCGCAGGCTCAGCGAACGTAGACTAACAAGCTCGTATTTATGTACGTAAAAAAACGATTCATGTATTGATTGTGCGAATTTTCGTTTATTAACCCATACGCACGCGCACAGCTTCAAAAACCCACGGAATCGAAGGCGCAGTGCTCCGGTGACTTGTATAAATTTCAGACAGTTTCGTTAAATTTTCAAAAATTTCAAACCCTCTGGACTTTCGTGTTGAATTGGGGTTTTTTTTGTGTAACGAATCGAAAAGCCGAATTTTCGATCCAGCGAATTTATACAATATAGTGAATATGAACAAGGAGAAGTAAAAGGTTTGACTACATGACGTAGTTTTAATGAATAGCTATAAATGTGCCTTGTAGACTTATAATAAACAATTATTGGATGAGGCTGAGCATGATATCAAGAATTATTCAGACCGAGGTCAATGTTATCTGCGGAAGCGAAGCTGAGGTGGATATTTCTTTCACTAAAATTGTAGAATTAATTAATAATTCTTTCACTAAAACTTCACACAACTATCAAACAAACTTTCGTGGCTTTCTTGGTACTGTCACTGTCTTTAACTGCTAATAATTTTAAAAGGCAATATTTTCTGCCTTTTACAATATTTCGCAACCAAACTTTGTAAGTTTACTAATTTTAGTATGCTCTTTCTAGCTGTTGTGATTTATTTGCATCTTCTTGCCTAGTTTTAAAATTGGTTTATAATGGGAATTGTCTATTGCATGGTTGCGATGAAAAAAATTTCATTCACAATTATTGAGTAAACATTTATATTTCGACGTGACTATACAGCCAGCAGCCGGCTATTTAGTGAACTGCTGGATACATAGTGACTATATAGTTAAAGTTGATTTTTTATAAGATAAACCGATCCTAACCCCAAACCCAAACCATTCTCTAACCCTAACCGCTAACCCTACCCCTACCCCTAACCTTTTGAGAATTAGAAAGGGCGGGAAAAAGTTTAAAATTGTTTTGAGAAAAAAATGCTAAATCAGACAAAACACGACCGGACTCAGACTGCGTTTCACTTTCCGCATGACGCAGCGTCTTTACCGTATATGTTAACGGCAAACTATAGTGACTATAGTCAAATACAAAAATAGGTACGCTGTAGCGTACATGGCGTCTACTGATCAAAAACAAAGAATGTCAATGCAGTCCTGTTTATATTTACATTTCCGACTTTGGAGTGGGGACGATTAAAGTATCTCGGCAAGTATTTACCCGCCCTTTAAAACAAAAACCACCGTTGAAATCCTCATAAAATAACCTTTCGAACGGTGTGTCAAATGCCATTATAATATTACACAAACCAAAACAATTGTATATTTACTCACCGCTTGGCCTAACATTCTGTACTTCATATGCATGGAGAAAAAATTGAATACCTTCTGAACTCTTCAGACTAAGTCAATATGAGTGAAATACCCCCTTGTATTTTTCAAGCGCTTTCGTGTAGGAAGTTTCTTTTGAATATGGCGGACTAGAAATATTTATTTTGAATTTTTCAGAACATCGGGTTGTTACTCGTACGAGCGTGCCACAAGCTAAAAATAGACAAGATAAGATAAGATAAAACTCAGAGGAGGTTGGACAGCTAATTAGGCAAATCATGGCGAATCTCTCGACCAATCAGATTTCGCCATTTTCCTCATGCTCGCATAAAGCTTTTGGCATCGAAAATTTACATAGGGCTCATAAATATCGACTTTTTTCATATTGTTATGCACATTTTTTTTTTGAAATTTTACGCGATACTAACTACATTTACAACAGTGAATCTACCCATTGGAACGGTATCTTGAAAGCGTCATTTTCCAGTTTATTTTGACCTCTCACTTTAGGCGCTATGCCGTCGCGATGTAATTTAATGGCGTTTCTGTCAACAATCTTTGAAGACAAAAATCTCAAATTCCCACGGTTCGTTTTCGCTATTTTTTTAACAATTAGTTAAACAAAAGCATAACCTTTAATTCTATCCAGCCGGCCCCCCTCGGTCCCGCAACCGTTTTCGAGATATTCACCGTTGAATATAGACTTCTGAAAAATGTATTGCCTTGTCACTCAGATCGATAATGAACTGCTATTACTCGCTTTTTTCTAAAGAAGTGTGATATATTATAGAAGTTTCGATATATTATGGATTGTATATATTGCAGTTAAAGTGTGTAAATAATTAAATCCCTTCCGTAACAATATTTTATAAGTGAAATTTATTGTTTGGCTGTTTTAGATTTGAGATTCGTGATTTTGGCTGGATTCTATTTTTGTGAATGATTTTGTCTGCAAGAATTAAGCATCATCATTAAATTTGGAGGTAAAATCGGTCCTTCCAATCTGTACAGATCTTCTACATCTGCAAGATCTCCGATGCTATGATTGTCTCTCCATCGAGTGACAAAACCTTGTTCACCTTTCTGATTAATATGTTATTGGTATGATGACTTATGGATTTTCAAAACTAACCCTGCGACAACCAGAACAACTACTCATCCACCTGTTTCAAAAATGGCTGGTAAAAGTTAACCCTGGTTTAAATGCTAAATTTGTCCCTCAAAATTTTCTCCCACTTGTTGCCAAGGCTATGTCTGTACTTCATGCTGGTCAAAAAGACAATCTGATTTATCACGCTGCTAGATGTTTTGGAGAGCAGCTGCAACGCCATGGAGATGTTGGTCTGATGCCATTGGATAGAATGCCCTTTATAGCAGTGAAGGCCCACTTGGCCTTTTTTTAACAGTATTTTGTAATGATGTTACACAACTAATTGAGATAAAGTTTGAGAAATGGTGGTTCTTTCAATGTTAAGCCCCAGAGAGGGGGCGGGGTCGGGCATATGTGGGGCATTTGATTTTTTGAGCAAATTCTCAATCAAAAGCCCCGCTGTTAGGTAATAAATATTGGTCAAACACCCCACCATTTTGCAATAAATTGCAATAAATACTATATTAATTAAAGTCATTTTGGTTCAAATTGCCCTAACTCGGGCCCAAAATGCTAATCAAAATCCTCAGAGTGGCGATGCAATTGATGATCAAATACCCCACATATGCCCACCCCCTCTGGGGCTTGACATTGACAGGTGCAATAATATGCAGGTTTTGTTTGTATTCTCATGTAATGTACCACAAAGTATCAGCAGCATGTTATTGTGGGACCTTTGATCAATATGTATATTAATAGACATATTTTTGTTTTATTGTTGCATTAATTTTAATGAAAAATTACTCACAAAGTTGGTCAAGTGAATGTACAAACCATTTATTTCTTCATTTAGTACAGCACATGTTACAATTATGTATTTGTCTTAATTGCATGAGTGTGCATGACAGACATTGTTTTATTTTAATTGTGCACACCCATGCACTTATGATTAACCTAGTTTTTGTTTATGAAAATCTAAAAAGTTAGCCAATTGAAATAACATCATTTCTATAACTCGCTAAACCAAGTCAGTTACAATTATATCACAAACATCTGTCAACGTACACTCCTGCTCTTCCTTACCACTTGAGTCTCCCACTCACCACGTCGCTTTATGAAAATTTTTTGATAAAATCCTATTTTAAAAAAGCCAACCCTTTACTTGATATGCTGAGCATAGACATCTAAGATATCTCCTGTGGCAATAGTGGGTGCTAATACTCGCATAGTTGAGAAGCAATATAACCAATATGTGTCCATCCAGTTCCATAGTCTACATCAATTGCACTTGGGTCCATTGGATTCAATGGCTCTGGCCGTATTCTTACCTGCACTGGTTTATCTTGTCCATGAAGAGCAAGGTATGCCTGTTCCAAATGATGTTGGTAATTTTTTCATGAGCAGCACCGATGCACTTGAATGGTACAACATGGGTGATTTCGTCCTCGTCACTTTCATCCTCATCACTTAACTGGTCACCACTTTCTGCTCTATCACCTTTATTACCATATCCATGCCGACCAGGTTCAAGACCAGCCAACCACTCAAGTAGATCTCTTTCTACAAAATCATAACAAGAAAATTTTTATTTTATTATTTTGTACATAAACTGTAATCTCTAAAACTAGCAATCTAATGCAAAAGTGTCTCACTATTTACAGTAATATTTATAGAACAACACACAAATATGGCAATATTTTACAGATGAAAATTGAAAAATATCTAACTATCCAGCAATCCAGGTGATCTCGTGTTCGTATTTTAGCCAATCAGCGCTCAGAAAGGGTTGTCCGAATAGAAATCCATTTTGATGTATTCAGTCAATTATATCTTTCGTTATTCTTTATGAAACTAGTTGAAATTTTGTAATTATGGTTGGTTATGAGAACTATAGCTCTGACAAAAATATGGAATCGAAATAAAGTATATTACAGGAGATATTCAGTTGTTTTAATCACAAAATGGATTTCTATTTGACAACTAGTGCCAGTACTTTTCCGTGTATCAAGATCACCTGGATTGTATGCACATATATGTGAAAATCTATCCACAACTAGATACAAACAGGCATCATACTTCAGCAAAAATTTATTAAACAATTTGTTTAACTCAAAGCATGCACATATGTATCACAGTGACACAGTACATAGACACACACAATAGGGTCAAACTAGAGGCATTAAACACAAATATTTCGCCATAATTTTGTACAGTGTTTTTATAAAATTACAGTACAAGGTTAAAAACAACAAAGCGGATAATAATTTGACTAAACAACAAGATAACTGTAATGCATTGTAGTTTACCAACCTTAAATATAGCGCTTGTTTTCATGTTGATAATACACGGAGATTTAACGCCATCCAAGTTAGAAAGACGAGCCTCGCTATTGGGAATATATACACAATTCCTTCGCTCAGACGGATTATTTTATAAAGCTAAAATGACAACATGTCCCATGCAATTTAAAAAAGGTAAACTTGGTATAGTAAAACACAAGTCATAATGATGATCGCAACAATACAGCAATAACATGCTGTTTCTTTTCACAAAGTATCGCAGCCTGACACTCTTGTCGTTCGAAAGCTTCCATATTGGTTTAGTCAGAGAGATGTTCACTCCTCGACCGTCAACAGTCAATGAAGCCACGCGCGGAATTAGGCGCTCAATACCCATGATGCTTTGTGGCCTGCTGTCCAACCTCCTCCGGATAAAACTTTATTTAGACACGCTTACTCCTTCAGCAAATGCTGATTTCCAAGGGGTTAGGATAAAACGCGGATACGGACGGACGGATGGATGGATGGATGGCGGACGGACGGACGGATGAGTGGCGGACGGACGGGCGGACGGATGGCTTTCAGCCATTTTTTAGTCATATCCGTGTTTTATCCAAAAGGATAAAACGCGGATATGGTCCAAAAAACGTTTTTCAGCCTTTTTTAAGTCATATCCGCGTTTTATCCAAAAGGATAAAACGCGGATATGGTTCAGAAAACATTTTTCAGCCATTTTTAAGTCATATCCGCGTTTCATCTAAAAGGATTAAACGCGGATATGGTCAAAAGAACGTTTTTCAGTTCTTTCAGCCATTTTTTAGTCATATCCGTGTTTTATCCAAAAGGATAAAACGCGGATATGGTCCAAAAAACGTTTTTCAGCCTTTTTTAAGTCATATCCGCGTTTTATCCAAAAGGATAAAACGCGGATATGGTTCAGAAAACATTTTTCAAAAAGAACATTTTTCAGCCATTTTTAAGTCATATCCGCGTTTCATCTAAAAGGATTAAACGCGGATATGGTCAAAAGAACGTTTTTCAGTTCTTTTTAAGTCATATCCGCGTTTTATCCAAAAGGATAAAACGCCGATATGGTCCAAAAAACGTTTTAACAGCCCTTTTTAAGTCATATCCGCGTTTTATCTAAAAGGATAAAATAAGGCATATCTATATGTATAAAGAATATTGAATATTGTCCTAGAATTTGAACAAATAAAAATCGAGATAAGAGTTCTAAAATAACAATTTAGTGTTAATAAAGTTTAAATTAGTGTCAGTTATCTGGTATGTAGTACTCCAATTTTATGCCAACGTAATGTGCTGTTTTTCAAAGACTTTTCAATGCAGTTATCGGTTTAAATGTACCTACAATTCCCGTTATATAAGATATGACACTTTCCGTACGGTCTGCTTTTACTTAAACACAAATTACAATTGCAACTTTCATGCTTAATTTTCTCAATTTGAACAAATAAAAATCGAGATAAGAGTTCTAAAATAACAATTTAGTGTTAATAAAGTTTAAATTAGTGTCATTAAATTAGTGTCAGTTATCTGGTATGTAGTACTCCAATTTTATGCCAACGTAATGTGCTGTTTTTCAAAGACTTTTCAATGCAGTTATCGGTTTAAATGTACCTACAATTCCCGTTATATAAGATATGACACTTTCCGTACGGTCTGCTTTTACTTAAACACAAATTACTACAATTGCAACTTTCATGCTTAATTTTCTCTGTTATCTGGGAACGTAGTAATCCAATTTTATGCCAATGTGATGTGCTGTTTTTCAAGGGCTTTTCAATGCAGTTATAGGTTTAAATATATCTAAAATTCCCGTTAAGGTAAGACAATTTCCGTACGGCCTACTTTTACAACGCAAATTAGCTACAATTGCAACTTCCATGCTTAATTTTCTCTGTTATCTGGGAATGTAGTAATCTAATATTATGCCAATGTAATGTGCTGTTTTCCAAGGGCTTTCCAATGCAGTTATCGGTTTAAATATATCTAAACTTGCCGTTAAGATAAGACGATTTCCGTATACAATTGCAACGTTCATGCTTAGTTTTCTCAGTTATCTGTTGTGTAGTAATCCAGTTTTATGCCAATGTGATGTGCTGTTTTTCAAGGGCTTTTCAATGCAGTTATCGGTTTAAATATACCTAAAATTCCCTTTAAGATAAGACAAATTCCGTATTACGCAAACGCAAGCTACAATTGCAACTTTCATGCTTAATTTTCTCTGTTATCTGAGTATGTAGTAATCTAATTTTGTGCTAATGTAATGTGCTGTTTTTCAAGGGCTTTTCAAAACAGTT